TATTTAAATGAATAAAAATTATTTAATAGGAGTATAATTTCGTTTCAAATATGTGAAAAATGTTCATATTTATGTGAATTTGTATTATTATTTTTTTGTTTGTATTATTGAGTATGTAAAATAGCAGTTTTTTCTTATTTTTATTGTTTAACTAGTGTAACAATAGCTTATTACTTTGTTCCTTTTTTAAGCGTATAATGTCTCAATTCTCTAGTATCAAAACCCCTTTTGATAAAAATGAGATACATGCATTAAAATATTCCTACCTTTCAATGTGTGCATAGAAATGGTTGCAAAAGCCATCAAATATTTATTAAAAAAATGAATATATACATTTTGTGGCTTTTTCAACCATTTGAATGCACAAACTGATAGTTAGTATTTTTTTAATGCATGGTTCTCATTTTTCATCAAAACGGATTTAAGTGGTTTTGATAATAGGGGATTCAAATGTGTAATTGTAATTATTATTTTGCCAAAGATAAAATTCAAGCAATTGCACAAGACTTTCAGGCATTTTCCACGAAACTCAGCATATTTACCGCGCGTATTTCCTCTATTTTCCCGGCGCGGCTTTTCACTGCTCGGGCTGCGTGACCCGGCGCCGGGAGCGTGGAAATCCCCCCCATAACCCCCCACCACCCCGCTTCACCACCCCCACTCAAACGCCGCGCGAACGGGGGAGCAGGGGGACGCCGGTTGGAGAGGGGGGCGTCGCGTACAGGCGCCTGGCGTCGCGTCAACTGCCGACGCCGTTCCAAAGCGCCGAACAGGCCGCAAAAACTGCTAAACGCTGAAAGAGCCCGAAAACACTGCGCTCTCCTTTCGAGGAGGCTCCGTCTCGCTCGCTCTTTCAACTCCGTGCTCTAATGTGCTTCAAGCTCAATTTTTAACACGGTGGGACCAAGATGCGGCCTGTTTGATAATTTAATTAAGTTTTGCTTTTCTCCGCTAATATCCGAAAACCTTTAGTTGGTTAATACAGAGTAAAATTTTTTTGTTAATTTTAACCAAATATTAAGCAGATTTTATGTTAATTCAGGTCCACATAACTTTATGTTAAGTTTTAATAAGTAGTAGATTTAATAACAAAATCAATATATCAATAATTTAAACATAATTCTTGTAATTTTCAAAGAGGACCTTATTTTTACAAACCATTTAGCAGACTCAGTAACAAAAGTATTTGTTGGGAATTGGAAACTTAAATGAAAAGAATTTTGATAAAAAATGTTGCTTTATTAATCAATTTTCTAAACAAAAAAATTAACACATGTCTACCTAAATGAACACAAAAATAACATACACACAATTCAATAACACACCATTCTGAAATCATCAAATTATAAAGAAATTTGGTACAATATAATTATCAGTACTGTACTACACTGAAAATAATAATAATAATCTCTTAAAACAAATGAAAATCACTTTAATTCAAAAGATTTGCGCTTTTGAATAGGGCCAAGAGCTATGTTTCTTAATCTAAATCAGAAACTATCTTTACATTTATAATAATAATAATTATAATTTTTTTTTAGATTACATGAGGGGAGAGATTTATCTATTCGTTCAAGGATATTACAATATTAGCTTAAATCAAGAGCAAGCGATTTCTTGGTACAAAAAACAAAAATATTTCTTCGGAAGATATTTCTCTTTTGAATGAAGAAAACGTTTTTTAGGGCAAAAAATGGGATTTTCGTAAGTAATATCATAAGGGCATTTAATTTTTCCGAAAAGAATCGAAAAAACACGTTGCTAAGTAATATTTTAACAAAAAGCATGAGTGCTGGTGGCAACAAAAATCCGAGTCAAAGAGGAGGATTTTTGCACCTGCACGAATGCATTTTTTTAAAAAATATTACTTAGCATTGTGTTTTTTCGATTTTTTTCACAGGAAAAATTAGATGCCCGAATGGTATTTGACAAGACTATTTCATGAGTAACATTTAACAATTAAAATATAAATTGCAATTTTTGGTGACAACAGCTGTCAAGTTTTGCCGCGGGTAAACTCGAATAAACTGCTGACAGGTGCTGTCACACAGTTTTTTCACCTAGAAACCATTTGTAATTCAAAATTGCGCGTTTGTGATTGGTGGAAATTAAGACGAGGGAAATAGTCACAAGAAAACTGCATCTCTTAATTGAAAAGCTTAGGAAATTTCTAAGAAAGTAAATTTATCTTCTAAAAAAGCTTATACTATTGACCACATTTTATTTTGAATTTAGAGAAAATATCTCTTGGTCCAAAAGCTTCTGATCTTCACTGAAACCACCAGCGTTATTAGTATTTAAGTTAAATTCCCCTCACCACATAGGCCTTTTGATTTTAATTATTGAAACATGCATTTAACAATTAAAATCAAGGACGTTCGTAGTGAGGGGAGTTCAAGCCTAAATATTGGCATGCCAATAGTCAATCTTCTAGTTTTCAAGTTCTTTTTTCATGAAAAAAGAACTTGAAAACTAGAAGATAATCTTCCTAAATTTTGTATTTCTTAATTTTTATTGTAGGTGTATATATAGATTGGTAACAATGCTTAAAAACTTAAGCTTAAAACTATGTTTTCATTTAAAAGTAAGTTTATTTAATGCTTTATACATATTCACAATAAAACAAATTAACTTTAAAATAAACGTACATACACTTACGTAAAAACTTTATAACTAATGAGCATCCTAACAATCCTAAGTAGTAATATATGACTTTATACAGATCGCATATTAAGATAGTCTATGGGACTATCTTAATTTGTGATGCATTTCGTAAATTTTCCATACCCATGGGTATAGAATACTATTAAATAAAAATTTGACATATGTCCGTTATATATAAAACAACAAATAAAAAATGGTTTACATTTGTTATATAAACTAAGCTAAGTTTTCTACATTTAAACACTATACAATTATTTGGTAAAAAATGTAAATGAAACGGATAACACTTAAAATCCCTTAGGGCCGGTTGTACAATGGCAGTTCAATAGCAGTAAACTGTAGTTCAATGTTGAACGGACGTTCAACGAAAATTTCATGTTGTGCAATATCCGTTCAAGCTTGAACTCATGCTTAAAAGTGAACCGCCGGTGTTGGCCGTTCAACGCACTGAACTTTTAGTCAAGCCAGCGGCACATGCGTATATTTGTAATTTGTGTTTAAGGTTAAGTTATTTTTACCAGTTTTTTATGTTATTTATATTCGGACGTTAATAAACATAAACATTTTACATATTAAAGGTACGTAAAGTTATGTTATGTGTCACAAAAAATATTAACCTTTACATGCTTTTTTAGATTTTTAAATATTCAAATGGAACTTTTAACTGATGATGAGGATTTTTTGGATATTGTTTTTATGTTTGCTTTTCCCAGACGACCCCAGATTTTCAGGGATCGACCAGATCATTTCCAAAAATGGAATGAATCTGAATTTATACAAAGATTTAGATTATCAAAAGATACTGTGAGATTTGTAATTAATGAGATTGCAGATGATATTGCTTCCCCGACAAACAGGTCAGTAAATTATGCAAATTCTTTTGTATGCAGGATCTTATTTTGTCAATTTTTTTTGTAGAAATCATGCTCTTTCCCCTGCAGAAATGGTTTTTGTTACTTTACGATTTCTTGCAACAGGATCATTTCTACAAGTAACTGGTGATTTTAATGGCATTGATAAGTCTACAGCAAGCAGAGTTATACATAAAGTTGTAACTGCAATTGCCAGGAAAAGAAGAGAGTACATAAGTATGCCAAATACCGAAGAAGAAATTCGCCAGGTACGGCAAAAGTTTTATAATATCAGTGGCTTTCCCAGATGCATAGGAGCATTGGATTGCACTCATATTAGAATACAATCTCCAGGTGGAGCCGAGGCAGAAAACTATAGAAACCGAAAAGGTTTCTTTTCCCTTAACGTTCAAGCAGTTTGTGATTCTGAGTTGCAGATTCAAAATATAGTTTGCCGTTGGCCAGGAGCTTCACATGATTCTAATATATTTAGACATTCTAGACTACGAGCAAAATTTGAGAGAGGTGAATTTGGGGAAAATCTACTTTTAGGAGACAGTGGCTATGGTATTAAAAGGTACCTAATTACACCACTTTTAAATCCACGAACACCAGCTGAACATCTTTTTAATGAATCACAAATTCGAACAAGGAATCCAATAGAGAGGTGTTTTGGAGTTTTAAAAAGGCGTTTTCCAATTCTTGCTTATGGTGTAAGAATTAAATTAAATAAAGTGGAGGCTGTTGTGATTACTTGTACAATACTTCATAATATTGCTTGTGCAAGGCGTGATGCAGTACCTCCTGTCAATGATGAAATTGAGGCAGCAATAAATTTTGTTGACATTCCAAATGTTCCTGCTAGACAAAATAGACTTGGTATCAATGACAGTGTCAGACATGCACTTATTACAGATTACTTTCAAAATTTACTTTAATTTTTATATTTTGTAATACTGCTGGATTGTCAACCACTTAATAAATACGTTATATGAGTACCTTAGATGCAAAACTCGGTTTTTGCAAATTAAAAAATAAAATAAAATTGACTTTAAATTCTGTTTAGTGTTCGTCCTAGATAAATGGCGTTCATAAAACTTGATACATAATAATATTATATTATATATATTATTATGTATCAAGTTTTATAAACGCCATTTATCTAGGACGAACACCAAACAGAATTTAAAGTCAATTTTATTTTATTTTTTAATTTGCAAAAACCGAGTTTTGCATCTAAGGTACTCATATATAAGTACTGAATAATTTTTTATTGCAATCAATAATAGAAGTTAACATTAAAATTACTACACCTAACAATTTACAAAAAAATATTTACAAATAATAATAATGTACTAAATTACTCCCTAATTGCAATAATATAAATCAACATTAAAACTACAAATAACATAAAATTACTAAACCAAAAAATTAACAAAAAGTTTGATTTGAAAAAATAACAGTTATGCTCTAAAAAAACATTTATTAATTAAATAATTTTCCCTTTTCTATTTTTAATATTTCTATTTTTAATTTTGTTTCTTCTTGTTTTAAATTACTTTCCTTTTCCATTAAGGTCATTTTTAGGTTGCTTTCCTTTTCCATAATTTTTAGTTTTAGGTTGTGTTCTTCCAGAAAACACTTTTCTTGGAGTTCTGTAAATTTTATCTTTGCAGAACTCCACTCTTCCAACTTCTTCTTCATAGGGAGAGGCATACATTCTAAAAGATAATATTAATAATAATATGAGATAAAGTAACATTTTTTATATTTTTTAAATGTTGGATTTTACTTTATAATAGGTAGTAGGTAATTAACAATTTTACCTTTATTATTTTGTTGTTTGGGTGGTGGTACATTTTCTAGAAAAAAAACCGTTCATAAAAAATTGTATAATATGTATTTAGAATTTTTACCTTTGCTAGTGGTGCTACTGCGAAGTGCTTTTGACCGGGGAGTCCTTAACATATCCGGAGTATATTTTGACCAATCTCCTTGTTGTGAAGTGGATGCTAAAATAAAATTATTTTATAAATATTTAATAATGATTAAACAACTTTCTTACCAGGGCTGCTTGAATTGGTTTTCAAATAAGGTTGTACAAATTCTGATGCTGCTAAAAAAAATATATAGATAATAATAATAAATATATCATATTGTATAAATATGTAAAAGTAATAAAAAAAAATTTACCAGGGCTGCTTAAAGTAGATTTTAAATAGGAAGGTGGTACAAATTCTATTGCTGCCAGTGAGACTGTCTTAATTGGTTCTAGAAATAAATATTTTATTAGATTACTAATTATACTAAATAGTATATGGTTTTTTTTACCTGGGTTGTATTCAAAGCTACATTTGACATCATCTTCCAAAAAGGTAGGAAAGGCTTGTTGTTCCAACTCTATTTCTTGTTCTATTTCTATAAAATTGTTTTTATAAACCATTTACTTAATTTTTAAAGTCTATAACTTACCATCACAATCATCATCAAAATTTGACTCGGTTCCAATTATTTGAGTTCCAGCAATTTCGATGGTTGCATTTTCTACATTTGAATACTCAAACATCTTTCCTGGACCTCCACCTGTTCCTTTTACCAAAAATTTTTGGTCTGCAACTTTTTGCTTCGTTCTCTTTTTAATATTTTCATACTTACTGCGAAGAACTTTTACATCTCTAAAAGTTTCCCCACATATTCCATTAAATTCCTCAGCAACTTCTAACCATGCCTTTTCTTTAATTTTGTTGTTGTTCATGTCAGTTTTTTTACACTCTATTCTATTTTTTTTCTCTTTTACTAAGCTTAGTAAAACGGATTCCTCTCGGCAACTAAAATTGCGAGACCTTTTTTTCTCTTGATCCATGTTTAGATATCCCAATCACCAAAGCCCCAAAAACTTTCTCAACTAATAAAAATCAAAATATTCCATTACCAAAGCCAAAGCCAAAATAAATACTACTATTATACTATTTATCTTTAAAGTGCATATTAAATTGCTTTTTCTTACCTGAAGTTATATAGGAACCAAAAAGAATAATGTTTAATAAACAAAACGCAATATTTATCTGTAACGGTCACAAAAAACACTTTGAAAATTTAAAATCGAAACACAGCTAAGCCAAGCAAAGCTAAATTCTAAAATAGGCGCGAAAAGTGTACGTCAAAATTAAGAAATGACAGAGTTCAGGCAGAGATATCTCTGCTTCAGGCTAGCCAACCCAACAAATTTTTCGTTCAATAGAACTGCAACTGAATTTCTATTGTACAACACATTAACACTTGAACTTCAGTTCATACTGAACTGACGTTCAGTTGATCTTCAGTTCATATGTTATTTGTACAACCGGCCCTTAGAGATTTAATAACGAAGTTCTCTTCTTTCACACCTACTACATGTCGTAGTTTTCTACTTACTATAGGTCCGTAACACTGCAAAAGCTTGATTATCAAAAAATAACATTCTTTGACTACCAAAGTGGAGTTTGATAAATTTTTCATATATATATGCCTATAGGCAGTAGGTATTTCACTATTCACTAAGTAATCACTTCACGTGTTAACAATAGAGTGAAAAACAAATGCAAGATAATGAGCAATTGCCTATTAGAAGTGAACATAATTAGGGTGGCGACTCTAGTGTTTTCGGGAAAAACTAGCCCGAAGCGCAATTTAAATATCTATAATGATTTCTAATAGGCAATCACACACAACACAACCGACAAAATGTATATTATAAATTCTTATAATAGAATTATAATATTATATCACTGCCCCTAGAAAATGGCGAATTGCAAGTTGCAATGATACAAAACGTACTAAACTAAAACTAAAACGTAAAATTGACATGCTATTGGGATAATTGTGATGTACCTATCTTGAATGAATTGCGTAAAAATAAATAATTTTTATAGCTTTAAACATTCAAGAGATTTTGTATTTGTTTTCAAGAGGACTATACTTCTTCCACAAAGAATTTTTTTCTTTAAGCAATAAATATTTTTTTATACTAAAATATTGTTTCTTCCGCTAATAAATTTTTATCAAGAGAGTTACTTTTGTTTACGGGCAACTTTTTTTTATAAACTGTTATAAAAATCAGATTTGTAAATTTGAAATTTAAAATTTCAATTGAAACCTTTAAAGGTTACATACAGACTATTTAAAGTTTAACAAATTATTTCAAAAGTACACGTGATTTCAGGCAGTTATAATTAGATTATAATCAAAACATTTCCCAAAACATTTCCCACTGACAATACGCATCAACAAGTTCACTTCACTTCAGCGTCTGCAACTTATGTTTCTGGTGTTCGTAACAACTGTCCAGAGTGTTTATAATATATTACCATGAATCTGTTATTACACTATGTAACATGATATTTGTTTAAATAAATAATAAATCGTTTATTAGCAAAAGCTATTACATACTTTACATAAATATATCATCAATTAAATATTTAAACGTTTACAATAATTAGATTAATTTCCACTATAAAAAATTGTCCACTATAAAAAATTGTCCACTATAAAAAATTGTCTTATACAGTATGCAACTATTTGCAGTATTTATATAAAAATCATTTCCTCCTCTTGTATTGTGTTTATGAATATTATTAACGAATTTTAATTTTTCATGTAAATATATGGCCATATATGGCGTCATTTTATTTTTTATTTTCTAAATTAAATCAAGAGTACGGTACACAATTCTTTGGTTTACATTCATTAAATTTAGGACCTCCAACAATCTTAATAGTATATTATAACTATTACCCTCTAATATAGTTCTCATAGATTTGTTTTGTAAAACTTGTATTTGGTCTTTTTCATTTTTATTAGAAAGAAATAATATAGAGGAACAATAATCCAAGTGCACCACATGTGGTGCTATAATAGACTTATATAATAAAATTTTATTTGACATACTAAGAGTTACCTACTCGCCTCATACATTTTTTTTTTACATTTTGTTCATTATTAACAAAGAATGACATTTCAAACTTAAGTTACGTCTATATTTACTCCAAGATATTTAACTTTTTCAATTAAAATGTTGTCACTTAGAACACTACCTCAAAATCCCATTCTTTTCAACTTACACAACAATAAATCCCTATCTACAGTTTCAAATGCACGTTTAAAGTCTAAAGTCACAAAATTATTATTTTCAGGACATTTGTACCACTCATCACAAACATTTAATATAACAGATTCACAGAATTAAAATCACAAAACTTTACCAGTTGATCTTTAACTTTTTTTCGTAAATAGGAACAGTATTAATTGGCGTATGGTTTTGGGAACAGGGGCCACAGTTGAGATCTTCCAATTATAAGGAAAAACACCAGTTTTTAAAGACTGGTTTATCACATTCATAAAACGGTTACCAATAACTTAAAATGAGTCCTTATAAATTCTATAAAATTTGTTGTGTTTTTCAATTTCATTATAATTTTTCTTAATTTATACATTGTTATATTTTGAAATGTTGTCATTTAATTTTTTTTTTCAATTTTGTCAAATATTACTTCATATTAATTTTTTATTTTAATTGATTGTACTAAATATTTCAGTTATGCTTTCTAAAAAATAATTATTTAATTTTGATGCGATTAGTTGTGGATTCGAACTTTCCACATCTAAAAATTTTATGTATTGTATTAGTTTTATTTGTTAAAAGTTTTTTTAATTCTTTCCATAATTCCATATATAATATATTATTGTTGCTATCCTTGATTTTATTTTAATAATACATTTCTTTGTTATTTTATATTTATTGTTATTTGGTTTCTTTTTTATTTATATAATTGCCAGTCTTCGTCAGATTTTGTAAACAATGCTCTCTTATACAGGATGACTCTTTCCTTCATTGAATTCATTCTTTATCCATTTTTTGCTTTATGACACACTAATAATTCCTTATTTCACATATTTTGTCTATTGCTTGTTCTAATTGAAAAGATAGTATTACATTTGTAATATTGTTATTCCACTCAATTACTCTTAAAACTCATCCACATCGTAATTTCATAGGTTTCTTCTTTTAATATTTAAATATTTACTATTAAGTTTAGTTATATCAATATTATTCTCAAAGTTCGTACTAAGAACTTTATGTTTTAACATTGTTTCATTATATATTTCATATAATCAATCACAGTGAAACTATTTGGTTTTATTCTAGTGAAATCTTTAATTATTTGATAAAAGCCATTTGTAAATTATTTCTTTTATTTTTCGACTGTAAAATCCATCTTTTTATAAATCAATGTTGAAGTCACCATTTATTTTATTTTATATATCCTGATGATATTTTATCCTTTGTTTTTATCATGCTGTCAAGCCTAAACCTGACAGCTATTTTATGTTGTTTTGGTCTTTATGACGAGTATTTAATTTATATTTTTGCTTTAAAATGTCATCTAGACGAATATGCAAGCATCCTCGAGATAGTTTTTGTTATGTTTGTTGGTCACTACATATCAAAAAAACAAGTTAAATTTGAAATAGTGCAGAATACAAAGCTTTGGGACGCCTATGAATGTTATTTTGGCATTGCAGAATTAGAAGAAGTTTATAAATTATAATAGAAAATAGACGAACCATGTAGCCAGGACCAAGACTATATACCCGAAGGTGAACCACACTTTGTAAGACAACAATACTTAAACGATTTGGTAAGAGATCTTGGTCTTACAAAAGAAAAATCTGAAATTCTTGGATCGCGGCTGAAACCCTCTTAACAAGGGCTGTACATATACCTATCGTAAATGTCATCAAAATTATTCCGGTTTTTATTCTGTCCAAGATGATATTTGCTTTTGTGCTGACGTCGAAATTGGAATAGTTCATGATACTAAGCAATGGCGTTTATTCTCCAGCTTAAAGGAAGTAAACATTTTATTTTATTACTTTCAATTTATTGCTGCTCACAGAGTTAATTTAACATAAATATTATATAATATGTTATTAACATTATTTTATTTAATTAAATTATAATTTATTTTTTATTTCAATTATAATTTTTAAAGATCCTGAAACTGTCTAAAAATGTTTTAAAATGTAAAACTGTCTAGGAACTTATATGTCCTTAAATTTAAATAATTTTGTAAAAGCAACTCTTTTTATTTCTTACGTGATGATTTTCAATGCCATAGTTTCCTTCTTTCCAATCTGATAGTTTTCTCCAAACTATCCAGAATAGTGTGAATTGTCACAAATCTGTCTTAAAATAGTCTTAAAACTGTCTAAAATTTGCATATTTTCTTCTCTCTTAAAATGAATTAGTCAAAATTCTACTATTTGAATTAGTACCAGCATTTTTTACTAATAAAATAGTCGTTTTCACTTTTAATTAGTTATTTTTTACTACGTAAATAGTTAAAGTTTGACTAATTTAAGATTAGTCACCATCTTTGACTATTTCTGAGAGTTAAAAGTAACTAATTTCTTTAATCGTTTGCGGCCAACAACAAAGTATTACTTATTTAAATAAAATGCATATAGGCTCCATGGTTAAATGGCCCATAAAAATAAACAAAGATGCAAAAAGTTTAGCTCAAAATAGAAACACAAATAATATATTCAACTTTAAAATATTATTAACAATATTTATTGACAAATAAAATTGATTGATAGCCACATTGGTTATGACAACAGCTTGACAAGCTTGACAGACCTGAGTTCAATCCCCAGCTGGGTCAAAACTTTTTTAAATTTAAATCTATTAATTTAACTATTTCATTTAGTAGAATTTAACTAGTTACTAGTGACTGCTTTTTAGCTATGAAAATTAGTTAAATATGACTTATAATTAATTAGTTATTTGTGACTAATTCATTTTAAATTAGAGAACAAAAAATT